ACTGTCAGCGTTCCAGCAAACCTCCATTCCATTCAATAATTCTGAGACAGACATATCTTAAAGATACCTTTATTTGGATAGAAACTGGCACATCTGTGGAATCCCGAATCTGAAAGTTTTTGGGCTTCCTTGGAATATTCAAAACTACAAATCCATCCCCCCTTGGCCATCATCACATCACATGGCCCAATCACGGTCTGTCCTAAGGTAAGATTCTTATTTCATTCTGCACCATACTCAATGATCTTGAACTAACAAAAGAATTTTATTTTGTCTACTTAGAGATACTCAATTGAATCCCCCCTCCCACTTTTTTGGTTTTAAAACAAATACCTAGAAGAGTGAGAGAGATGAGAAGAGAATATCGATTCCTGACCAAAATGTTATTGAAAAAGGAGGCGACTTACAGATGGCTGATCCCAGAAGGATTGATGTTTACGTGGCAGGAACAGAGACATAGAATTGATTCAATTGAGAAAGCAGAACTGTTCTACGCAGAAGTTTTTGGAGAGAGAGAAGGAGAGGCAGAAAAGGAGGTTCCATTAACTGAATCCCAAGTGGAACAAATGGAGATTGGAAAAGAAGAAGGTGCAGTAGGTGGACAAGTGGATATTAAAGATCAGCGTGAATCAAGACCCACGAGAGTGGTTAAATCTAAATATAAAATATAATCATGGAAGAGAAAAAACTGATTACAATGAATATAAATGGACTGAATTCAGCTGCTAAGAGAAGGAAGATTTTCCATAAATTAAGGAAACTAAAGTTTGATATAATTTGTCTACAAGAAGTACATATTAAAAAGCAACATGAACAATTGTTATTACAACCAAAATTAGGGAAATTGTTTACCTCTTTGACTCAATGTAAGAAAAGAGGGGTGGTCTTATATATTAAAGAGGTTATTCCAGCAAAAATGATTTATACAGATGATGATGGGAGAATATTAATGGTGGAAATAATGGACAATAATAGAAAGATACTTTTGACTGCAATTTATGCCCCGAATGATAAACAGGAAGAATTCTATAAAAAATTACATACCAAGATGGCTGGACTGGACTATGCTAATATAATTATGATGGGAGACTTTAATGGAATTGTGGATAATAAACTTGATTATATTGCAACAGCAGCAAAGTATAATAGAAAAACTCTTCCTAAATCTTTTTTTTAAATGACAGAGGAATTAACTTTAAAAGACATATGGAGAGAAAGAAATGTTAAACTTAAGCAATATACTTTCTATTCAAATAGACATTTATCATGGTCCAGACTTGATATGATTTGGATCTCAACAGATTTAATATCTAGCGTTCAAGAAGTAAATATTGAAACAAGTACTTGGGCGGATCATAACCCATTGACAATTAAATGGAAGGGACAAAAAAAAAGATCGAGATGGACGTTAAATAATACTATTTTAAAGGAGAAAGAATTTACACAATGGATGGAGAAAGAACTGGCCTTTTTCTTTAAAGAAAATAGAAAAGAAGACACTTCAATACAGAATGTTTGGGATACAATGAAGGCTTATGCCAGAGGCTTGATAATAGACTATACAAGAAAAAAGAATATTAGGAAAAGGCAAGCTTTCAAAGCCTTGGAGGATGAATATAAAAGACTCGAAAAAGAACTGCAGAAAATGCCACAGAAAAAAGACGTTAAATTGAAACTGGATATAACTAAACATAAAATGGACTTAATAGACAAAGAAGAACTGGCACAGAAAATTAGGAGTGCTAAACAGAATTAGTTTGAAGATGCAAATAAGCCAGGTAGATGGCTAGCATATAAGCTGAGAAAGGAGAAAGAGTTGAGGAAAATATTGCAGTTAATAGATGACCAAGGTAAAACTTGTCATGGCAGCAAAGAGAAAAAAGAAATTATTTATGACTTTTACAAACATTTGTATAAGAAAGAAGATATTGATGAGGAGAAAGTTAAACAATACTTGCAGAATGCAAATTTACCTAAGATACCTAAAGAGATTGAAGAAATGTTAGGAAGCAATATAACAATGATGGAGTTAAGCCAAGCACTTAAGAAACAAAATAATGGAAAGGCACCAGGTCCAGATGGGTTTCCTGTAGAATTTTATAAAACCTTTCAAGAATCATTGTGTATTCCACTGTTAGAAGTTATGAATGAAGTTATGCTAAAAAAAATAATACCTAAAACATGGTCAGAGGCTTATATTACACTTATTCCAAAAGAGGAGGCAGACCTACTTCAAATCAAGAATTATAGACCGATTTCCTTATTAAATGCAGATTATAAAATTTTTGCTTCAATATTAGCAGAAAGACTTAAAAAATATCTGAATAACTTTATCCACTCAGATCAAAATGGATTTTTGCCAAAGCGACAAATTAGAGACAATATGAGAGTAATTCTGGACACCTTGGAATATTATGAGGCGCATCCTGAAAAGCAAATGGCTTTGATATTTTTAGATGCTCAAAAGGCATTTGATAACGTAAATTGGAGATTTATGTTACTTTTAATGGAACAGATGGGCTTTGCTAGAAGATTTATTCAAGCAATAGAAGCAATTTACAATGAACAAACAGCTAAGGTAATGATGGAGGGAGAACTCACAGATCCTATTAATATAAGAAAAGGCACAAGACAAGGTTGTCCTCTTTCTCCCTTGTTATTTGTATTGACCTTGGAAGTGTTGAATAGAAATATCAGAGAAGATAAAACTATAAAAGGAATGAAAATTAAAAAGGAAGAATTTAAATTACAAGCTTTTGCAGATGACCTAGTCTTTATCCTGGAAGACCCTATAGAAACAGCCTTGAAGCTGTTGGAAAAGATAGAGGCATATGGGGAGGTGGCCGGTCTGAAAATAAAGATAAAACGAAGATTTTGTCAAAGAATATGTTGCTGAGACAAAGAGAAGAACTGGCAGAATTGTTAAAAATTCAAGTTACAAATAAGGTTAAGTATTTGGGGATATACTTGACACCAAGATGTAGTACATTAAAGGAGAACAATTATATTAAACTTAAACAACAGATAGCCCAAGACTTGAAAAAATGGGAAAACCTACAATTGTCATTAATAGGAAGGATTTCAACAATTAAGATGAACATTCTACCCAGAATTTTATTTTTGTTTCAAACAATACCAATTAGGCTTGGAAAAGAATATTTTGAGGATTTAAATAAAATTGTTTTGAAGTATATATGGCAAGGCAAGAAAGCAAGGATAAAGTTAAAGCTTTTACAGGATGCTAGATTTAGAGGAGGGTTTGGCCTGCCTAATTGGGAGTTGTACTACCAAGCTGCAAATTTGATGTGGGTTAAAGAATGGATAACATTAAGGAAAACTAGATTGTTGACATTAGAAGGTCATGATTTGTTGTTGGGTTGGCATGCTTTTTTATGGTATAAGGGAACCAAAACACAGGGGTATTTTAGAAGACATTATATACGGGAGTCTCTGTGGTTAAATTGGGAGAAGACAAGAAAACAATGTTATTTGAAAATTCTAGTTTGGTTATCGACGATAGAAGCATTTTCTTACCCTATAATTTATAAAAAGGAACAAACAGTTAGCTATGGGGAATTACTAGATGAAAAGGGTGAACTTAAATCGATGCAAAAATTAGAGGAACAAGGTATACAGATGAATTGGTTTTCATATTTGCAAATACATTCAAAGTATTATGAGGATTCCAAAGCAGAGGGATTTTATGATAAACAAACTGATTTAGATAAGATTTTGATGGGTACTGATGAAAAGGTGATTAAAAAATTATATGGTTACTTATTGGAAATTAAGTTGGAGGAAGAACAAGTTAAAGAAATGATGATTGCTTGGGGGAGGAATTTTGGATATGGGATTGACTTAGAGAAATGGCAGAAATTATGGTTGCAAAATTATAAAATGACAATGTCTACAGCCTTTAAAGAAAATTTGTATAAGATGTTTTACAGGTGGCATTTTCCCCCGACGAGGATAGCAAGAATGTTCAAGAACAAATCCGAAAAATGCTGGAAATGTCATCAGAAACCTGGTTCATACTACCATATGTGGTGGACTTGTGAGGACGCTAGAAAATATTGGACTAAAATCCACATGTGGTTGGAAAAAATGACAAAGAAGCATATAGACTTGAAACCGGAGCTTTTTTTACTGGGAATTTTACCAGATGCTTATAGTAAAGAGCTGAAATATTTGATTGTAAATGTATTGACTGCGGCTAGGATTGTATTTGCAAAAAATTGGAAAAATGAGAAAATTCCATTGCAGGAAGAAGTCATAAAGAAAATATTGGAATGTGCTGAGATGAGTAGATTGACTTTTGAAATCAGAGAGCAAGAAGATAAACAATTTTATATAGTTTGGGATCTTTTCTATCAATGGTTGAATGATGAAATACAAAAATAGAAATGTTAGACAATAAGGAATAATATTGATTTTATTTTTCTTTTCTCTTTTTTGGTATATATAATAGTTTTCTGTTTCTTTTTTTCTCTCTCTTATTTAGGATAGAATTGGCACGATTATATGATTTGTTTTAGAATAAATTACTTAAAATATAGTTATCTCACAAAGGCATGATCGAACAAAAGTCTAGTCAAACTTCTTTTTTTAATAGTGATATTATGATTTATAAGTTTGTATTGACAATAAGAGTTATTATATAAGGTAATTGTAATTGTGACTATGAGATGAGTGCACAAAACTGATGAACCAACCGACTCACTGTTTGTATATAAATATGGGGGAGCTGATGTTTTTATGTTTTGTCTGTTTGTTTGTATGTCAAAAAACAATAAAAAAAATTTTTTTTTTAAAAAAAAGAAATTTTGGGCTCAATTGTGATCGTAAGTTGAGAACTATCTGTACAAGTCTTAGTAAGATATTTAAAGTCTAGTTAAAATATGGTAGAAACAGAGTAAAACATAAACTGTTTTGACATAGACAAAATATTTTATTAAGATTGTTCATCACATAATGCATTTAGTTTTATTTTTATCCTCTAGTTCTCGTAGTATTGATGGATCGAATGGGAGATGCCAAAGACCAGGTTCGAGAACAGGCACAGAATCTTATTTTGAAGTTAATGGACCAAGTAGCTCCACCAATGGTAGGAATTCTATAGAGAGGATTTTTCTGTTATATGTCAATTGTTATGTTTTATTGAATTAAGCAACACAGTCTCAGCAATTTAAGAAACTGGGTAGGGTGTGGGAAATTGTATGTTGTGGTTTTTTGGCTGAAGATATGTGATGGTCATTTATTTTCCCTCACTTCTCAGTTGGAAGCATGGGAAAAAGAGAGAATTTTCCTGAGGGAGCTTAATAGGAAGAAGATCAAAACAATCTCAGATCCTGCCAAAAGAATGAATGGTAAGGGAGAAATAGTGACTATAGTATATACTGTATTACAGTTGACTTCTTAGCAGAAGATCATACCAATTGTTTGCTTGCTTGTGTATATACATATATATGTGTGTATATTCGTATACACACACACAAATACACATATGTACAGAAGACAATTATTTTAAGAACTGTGCTGACTTTCTGGTTCATAAAATAGCAGAAAGTTGGTCTTGTCAAAACTGACTACTATCTATTCCTATCCATGGAAACCACTGAATGCTAGAATACAAATTATTTAGAGGATTCTGAGTGATTCTATAAAGAAAAAGAGAGCAGGTCAAAAGTGATGTTTTCATCTGTATTCTGTTGAAGATAGAACCAGAAGAAAATAATAGATTCCTGGCAGTTAGTGTTATAATAAATTAGTATTATCAACAACTCTTTGAATTTCAAGATCAAAGTCTACTCCCCAATATAAAGGATTCATAAGCAGTAATGAGTTGTTTCTTTCAAAAGATGAGAAAAATTATTTACTAAACATTAAGAACATAACTGCATATGATAATGCAGAAACAGAGAAATGTTATTAGAAAATCTTCAGTATAAGGAGATCAGTAAAGAATAGCATTCATAATTTCTAGTTCTTCTACTAGTGCACAAAATATGGATAACTAAATATTCTAATAAAGCTAATCAAATATGATAGAAATCATAGAAATCTGGTAGAAAGAAAATCATTATTCAAATGTAGAACTTAAAGGATTTATTTTTTGTATAAAAAATAAGTTTTAAAAGTGGAATGAAACTGGCCTTTTAATTTAAAAAAAAGTCAGATACCAATGGATGGGTTGGGGAATCATGAGTATGTACATTTTGCTGAAAATATCTGGTTAGGGTGAAAAAGAGTATAAAACAAGTGATATCATTTGATAAGTTAATTGCAGGTCACTTATCCAGAGATAAAATATGTCTAGGCCTTTTTAAATCAACTCAAGTTCTCAAGAAAAAAGCTGTTGTGATAAAAATTTACATTGATACCCTGTTTCTCCAACAATACGGCCTCCCCCAATAGGAAGTCCCAGCATGTCTAATAGGCATGAAATGAAATTAAGCCCCTCCCCACAAATTAAGGCCTATATTAAAACATGCGAAATGGGGGGGAATGGTGGGGGGGCTTGCCGTTAGGAAGTACTTTTCTTGCACACCCGGATATGGTGCTGCCTGCATTGACCCCGATATGAAATGCCTCACCAACGCTGAGGTCAACATCCAAGCTGTTGCCGCCCGCCCACCTGAAGATGCAAGGGAGAGAATTAAGTCACCCCTGAAAAGACGGCCTAGCCATTTTTCAGGGCTCCCCAAAAAAAGAGACCCGGCCTTATTATATGAGAAACACGGTATCAGTTGGGGAATTTAACTGGCTAAAAGTAAAAGATTCAGCAGATTTCTGATCTTTCTTGATAGCAAATTATTTTTCATAAAATGAAAGAACAAAGCAAAATTCTGAATTTAATTGGGACAAATATTTATTTATTTGTTTGTCAAACATGTACAATATAACAAGTATAGGTATGAACATAAACATGAACAAAGGAAGTAAATACAGATAAATAGGGACAGTAAGACGGATAGTAGGCACGCTGGTGCACTTATGCACGCCCCCTTTAAGGACCTCTTAAGAATGGGGTGAGGTCCATGGTAGACACTTTGAGGTTGAAGCTGTGAGGGGTTGTGGCTGTAACAACAGAGTCAGGGTGTTGCAGGCGTTGACCACTCTGTTGCTGAAGTTGTATTTTCTGCAATCGAATTTGGAGCGGTTTGCCTTGAGTTTATATCGGTTTGTCCGTGTGTTGTTGTGATTGAAGCTGAAGAAGTCGTTGACAGGCAAGATGTTATAGCAGACATTTTGGAAACTATGCTTAGATCAGATCGCAGGTGGTGCAGTTCCAGATTGTCCAGGCCCAAAATTTTGAGCCAGGAGGCATAGGGAGTGCTATTGTGAGTAAAGGAGTGGAATACTCTTCTCGAGAAATACCTCTGAACCCGTTCTGAATCGTGTTAATGTACAGGGTGGGTTCCAGGCGGATGAGCTGTATTCAAGAATTGGTCTGGCAAAGGTTTTGTATGCCCTAGTTAGCAATTCAGTGTTACTGGAGAAGAAGCTTCGCAAGATTAGGTTAACAACTCTTAATGCCTTTTTGGCAATGCTGTAACAGTGAGCTCTGGGGCTTAGGTCATTTGAGAGGAGTACTCCTAGGTCCTTGACAGAGTGAGGGTTGTCTACGAGATCATTTCAGCCCAATTTGTATTTGATGTTTTGATTTTTATTGCCAGTGTGCAGGACAGAGCATTTATTAGTTGAAATTTGGAGTTGCCAATTATGCAACCATTAGAATTGATAGTAGATAGAATTGATCAGTGACTGAAGGTGTCAGGTATCTAAGAAGGAGACAACATTATGCAAGCATCTCAAGATAATTAGGGAAGGAATTGCTGAAAATCAGTTGGACTTCAGGAAGGCAGACTTTAAAATATAATCAAAAACTAGAGAATATACTATGGCGTGAAATTCTAATGAAATGGAAGAAATGAGGAAGTGAAAGCATAGCTATAAACAATCTTCATGCACATGAAAAATAGATTCAAGAGACCTTTAAAGACCCGCCATCTTCATCCACATCTTCAGTGAATTACTAAAGATGTGCTATATTTCTTCTTGCTTCAAACACTTGACTATCATCCCAGTGCCAAAGAAGCCCTCCATCAAGGAGCTGAATGACTACAGATCAGTTGCTCTAACATCGGTAGTTACAAAAATCTTTGAAAGGCTAGTGCTGTCCCATCTGAAAACCATCATGGATCTGCTGTTAGATCTCATGCAGTTTGCATACCGAGGAAATAGATCGACAGATGATGGTGTTAATATGGCTCTGCACTACATCCTACAACACCTTGAATCTCCAAATATCTATGCAAGATCCTCTTTGTAGACTTCAGTTCTGCATTCAATACCATCATTCCAGACCTTCTTCAAACTAAATTAAATCAGCTAGCGGTACCCGAACACACTTGTAAATGGATCATAAACTTCCTAACAAGGCAGCAAGTGAAGCTAGGCCGAATCATGCATAAGTGCACCATTGTGCCTACAGTCCCTGTCCTATTGTCCCCATTTATTCATACCTATTTCCTGTATTCTTACTCATGTTTATACTTATACCTGTTATCTTGTAAGTGATTGACAAATAAAATAAATAAATAAAAATAAATCAGCAAAGGCCCCCCTCCAAGGCTATGTGCTTTCTCCCTATATACCAATGACTGCATCTCAAATGATCCACCTGTTAAAATACTGAAGTTTGCAGATGACACAACAGTAATTGGTCTCATCCGAGACAACAATGAATCTACATACAGACAAGAGGTTGTACAACTTGCCTCGTGGTTTAACTGGAACAATCTGGAACTGAACACAGTCAAAACTGTAGAAATGGTGGTAGACTTTAGGAGAAGCCCTCCCATATTACCACCTCTTACATTACTAGACAACACAGTATCAACAGTAGAGACCTTCAAATTTCTAAGTTCTATAATATCACATGACCTAAAATGGACACCTAACATCAAAAACATCCAAAAAGCACAACAAAGAATGTTCTTTCTGTGCCAACTCATAAAGCTCAAACTGCCCAAGGAGCTGCTGATACAATTCTATAGAGGAATTATTGAGTTTATCATCTACACCTCTATAACTGTCTGATTTGGTTTTGCAACCCAACAGGGCCGAGACTTCAGAGGATAATTAGGATTACAGAAAAAACAATTACCTGTCTTCAATCAAGGACCTGTATACTGCACGAGTCAAAAAGAGGGCTGTGAAAATATTTATAGACCTGTCACATCCTGGACATAAACCGTTTCAACTCCTTCCCTCAAATTGATGCTATAGAGCACTGCACACCAGAACAACTAGACACAAGAACAGTTTTTCCCCGAAAGCTATCACTCTGCTAAACAAATAATTCCCTCAACACTGTCCAACTATTTACTAAGTCTGCACTACTATTACTGTTAATCTTTTCATCATTCCTTATCACCCATCCCCTCCCACTTGTGATTGTATGTCTGTAACTTTGTCACTTGTATCCTTACGATTTATATTGACAGTTTCCTAGTATGATTTAATTGCTTATTGTACCCTATGACTGTTATTAAGTGTTGTACCTTATGATTCTTGACTCTTGACAAATGTATCTTTTCTTTTATGTATACTGAGAGCATTGGCACCAAGACAAATTCATTGTGTGTCCATTCACACTTGGCCAATAAAAGAATTCTAATTCTATAAGAAATTTTCAGCTATGACTTCTTGCTGGCTCTTTTCACATCCATGCAGGTACACAAACAAAACAGTTTGTTTTGCTGATAAGGAGCTGAATTAAGTGTTAGTTCAGATAGAAATAATTCTCATGAGACAATGAGATTGGCAAACTTGAATGAACAAAGGCACCCAAAGGAACTCTAGAAAGAAGCTGAAAAATGGATATCATGGAAATGAAAACGATAGCTAATAACCAAAATAACAATATGGACTAGTGGCAATTGAATATGTATAGTTGGATGGTCCAGAAAAAGGTAAGGCAGGGATCTTAGAAAGAATTTGAATGAAGGCTTGTTAATTCATGGCAAATGTAAACTAGTCTCCAATTCCTAAGTATACAAGTAGTCCTCAACTTACAACAGTTCGTTTAGGGACCGTTCAGAGTTACAATGGCACTGGAAAAGTGACATGACTAGTTTTCATACAACCGATGCAACATCCCTGTGATCATGTAATCAGAATTTGGATGTTTGGCAACTGGTTCATGTTTATGATGGTTGCAGTGTTCCTGGCACTTGATAATCTTTTGCAACCTGCTGACATGCAAAGTCAATGGGAAAATCTGATTTGCTTAACAGCTGTGTTCCTAACTTAACAACTGCAGTGATTCGCTTAACAACTGGCAAGAAAAGTTGTAAAGTGGGACAAAATTCATTTAACAAATGTCTCAGTATCAGAAATTTTGGGCTCAATTGTGGTCGTAAGTCTAGGACTACCTGTAGTTTGCTATATGAAAAAGAAGGATAATAGAAAGTAAAGACATAAAATATGGAATGCTTTAAGAAGAGAAGAATCATTCGGGCTACAGATGATGCAGAATGTGGTGGTGTGAACAATTCTTGGCTCTTGTAACACTACTGCTCCATAAATTGTATTGGCTGCCAGTCGGTTTCCAGGTACAATTCAAGGTGTTGGCAATGACCTTTAAAGACATCCATGGCATAGGTCCAGGCTATTTGAGGGACCGTCTTATCCCACTGGGATTGCCCCATCCCACCCATTGGCCTGTTTATATTTCGCAACTAGCAGGGTCAAAAAGAAAACCTTATTTGCCATTGTGCCTGCCCTCTCGAACATCTTCCCCTCCCATGTGAGGTCATACCCAACCCTTCTGATCTTTTGTAAGAATCTAAAGAGGGAGCATCATAGTGGAGTTCCCTTGATAGATTAGCAGACAGATCCCATTTCCCACTCACCACCACCATTCCCATCTATAATTGGATCATAGTGTTCGTTGGTATTAATTTATGTTTTTAGCATGCAGAGAGATATATAGCTATGAGTTATACTGTGGTAAGATGGCCTGCCAATAAATTTTATAAATAAAATAAATATTTATCTATGGTAGCAAAAGATCACAAGCAAAATGGATTAGATTTTCAGATTAATAAATTGTATTAAAAGACAAACTTTCATGACCTGTAGCTCACTTCATCATGCATGCAATTGCTGAACTGATACAGGATTTAAATTAAAATTAGATAAAAGAAGGAAGACAAGGTGATTATGCAGATGAAAGTTACATACGAGACAGATGTCAAGTACCTTACCAATTAATAATTTTAATGTGTTAAAATCCTATTCAACATATTGACATTTTTTGAGGTAGCCTAAAACCTCTTGAAGTGAGTTCAGCAATCCCTTGTCAGGTTGATAAAATTTCTTTCTTTCCAAAATGGCTGCTTTCAGATCTGTAATTCAATCCTGAGAATTGAAATGTTTTGATAGTGTGTTGGCCTTGGTGTCAAATTTGTGATCATTACCAGTAGTTCTTTTGATTAATGTCCTGTTTGTCATTTGTGAAATCCAAAGAGGCATTGTTGGCAGATAATGGTATAGGAAGAGAATGTGAAACTGCTATGAATCTTACATATGAAGTCATTAATATCTGTGATGATATAGTGTAAATAAAGCAGGGTAGACATTTGAGTTTATTGCAGAATCTAGTTCCCATATTAACATCATTATTTTTGTTTTCAGTTCAGTTCAGTCTGATAAATTCCTGGTTTAATTCCATCAGTTGAACATCTGTGTCAACGTATGTATTTTTGGGTATGTTCAAAATCAGATGGACTGATGGGAAGATTTGCTATTTGATATCAGTATATTCTTGATGACTCCCAAATCCATGCATATAAAGAGAATATTGTGTATAATGTCTCAAAATTCATGATGGCTAAAATGCTGGTGCTAGAGAGATTGCCAGTCTTCTTACAAAATCTGTGGTGTAACTGTGGTGTTATGTAGTTGGAAATGCTGACGGTATAACGCTAAACCTGACACCACAAGAACTGCAGGAATTATTGGTGTATTACATATTAACAGAATCTTGAAAGCTCATACAAACCCTTCATTGCCACTCTTTAAGGATGAGGTTAAGGCAGAGTGTTCTGAGACTTTCACATTTTCTATTTTGATAGAGAAATCATTTCAACTCTCCCACTTCCTTCTCTAGATTTCTCTACCCATAAGGTACATCATCCATGAAACTTGATATTCCAGTTATAATAGTTCTGATGCTTGAAACAGTGGGACAGCCCAGATTGCCTAGTAGCTTTAGGAAATTCTTTCATCATATTTCATAATAGTTTCTGATATATTGCTATGGAGATTTGAGGTTTGTATTCTGTGATGGTGGAGAATTATTTCTTGGCTTACTTGACAAATTATCTTATTGGTCTATCTCAGGGTTAACTTTCTTACAGTTTACATGCAAAATATTAAGTGATGCAAGAAACAGAAATAGAATTATTAAAATTTCAGACAGCATGTAGAAGAACCTCCAATCAAAAACCTGAAGGAAAAGATAAAATTCTGATAGTCCATGGGATGATTCTAGCCTCCTGCTCATTTGGAGACAGTTTTGATTTAAATAAGTGCCAATTAGCTTAAAACACACAAGTACTGGATTAAGATAATCATTACCAGAAGCAAATCATTACCAGCAAACACAGAAAAGAAATTAAACTTAGCATAGTTTTTTGCTCACTTGCCTGCATTCTTGCAAAGAATGGATCATCCTTGGTATAGATATTTTATGTGTGCTGATTTCTTGCAAATTTTGGCTTAGCTTTAACTTAAGGAAAGGTAAGTTTTAAACTTTCATCTAGCAGCTTCTGCTTGATTTTTAAAAAAAGACTTTTTCCTATCTAGTAGAAAAAGAGGGATGAGAGAAAATCTGTTTGTTTATGTGTCAAACCTATTTGTTTTTGCTGAAGATGCTGAAGATATTTATTGTTTATGCTGGCAGTTGCCATTTACCTTGTAAGAGGCTCCAAGAGGCTGAAATAATGAATAGGATATGGATAGCCTGCTCCTTTATTACAGGGTCAAGAGAGCAAGCCTTATGAGGAAGTGTGAAGTATTGCACCTACTGAGGTTCCAAACATGATCAAAAGGTTCAGATCTATTCTCCCTTAAAACTTAGAGCAATGTAATTGCCAATTATTTTTAAAGAAAGGAAGCAAGGCTGAAACACCTGGTCCTTCCCTATTGGAGGTTTTTTTAATGCTTCCTTACTGAGTTTCTACACCCCCCACAAAAAAGTTTAAAGTTTATTTCTTTATTAACTTTATGTCCTGATTTTTTTTCAGAATCTTAATATAAGATCTGCTTATCCTATATGTTCTGTGATACTTGTCCTGAGCAAGCTTACTTGAAAATAATTTATATTGATTGCCTGGACAGTACTTTTACTACATTCTGAACTGGGCGGCATATCTATTTCATAAATAAATAAGCATCTAATGATTTATAAATACATAGTTTATATTTGATTTACTTACTGTGAACTTGCTGTCTCAAAAACCCATGCCAAAATTAATACAGTAGTAGGGATATAATTGTATTTCATCAAATTATTTCCATGGTATTTTAAAGTACTACAGTTATTTTGGAATATATATACAGATAATAGTACTCTAGCTGTATTTATTTTAAAAACATATTTTAAAAATTAAGAGCAATATAGGCTAACATAGTCTGAGTATACATGAAAGGCTGTTTCTGCTTCAGCATGATTTAAATATTGGGAGGATCTAAGTCATAAATTGCTGCAGTCTAAGAAATGTGCTATTGCTCACTGGGCAGCAGTTGCTAGGCAACCTTTTTCTTCTGAATGCTTGCTGAACAGCAAAGAGTATAATGGCAGCATTGCAGCTAAAGGGAGTAGTAGCTAAAAAAAAATTTGCAGTGATGTTTCAAAGCAACCTAGTCTTTCTTATAAGCTTCAAGTTTGCAGCATTAGCTGCCATGATACAGCAAAGGTCCTAGGAAGTCCAGGATCATAAAGATAAAAACAAGAAAGAGATAATGGTGGAAAAATAGGTGGAAGCAAATGCATGTAGACCAGATAATTTATCACAGAAGAATATTCCAGAGATCATCACACAAGCTCACTGAAGACTACAACCAGCATTGAAATTAGACAGTGGACAGAAACAGGAGCATAAACATGCACAATAAATACATCAAGTTGTAATTTGTACATTAAAAATCTATTGTAAAGAAATTCAGAACATTTCTGAATAGTGCATGGAAACCACAATGAGAAGATTTAGTTTAACAAAGAAAAATTAAGCAGAAACATTTATTTCTTCGACTACAGTTATTTTGTTTGGATATTTATAAAACTGAATGTTAATTTATAATAGCTACTATGTATTTAGCATTAAATATGAATTGTTTATTTTTAATAGTTCTTTTGGGAGCGACTTGCTGCTGGCTTTAAACACAAGAATTATCGTTCACGAGAAGGCGTGTGTCTGTGTCTTGTTGCAACATTAAATGCGTATGTATTTTAATTTTATGAAAAAGCTATTAAATTATCTTAATGGTGGGACATTTTTAAAAAATTTATGCTATTTTAAGATTCTAAACTAAAAACAGGATTTTCACCACTTCATTCTTTATGTTTCCAGACGTAAGGTTTCAATAATTAGATAATAGAACTGCTATCGGTTGATGTTATTGATTCTTTATAATGGAAAAATAATCTTTTTTGTTTTGTTTTCTTAGTTATGGTGCACACTCACTAATTCTCAGCAAACTGGTGCCACACTTATGTATTTTGTCTGGAGACTCAAGTAACCAGGTAAGATTATTATAGTTGACAAGCCCCTGAAAAATCTGATTTCTCTGTTGTTGATATTATCTCTGAAGAAAGATTACAATAGCAGGTAGCTAGACAGACAGACAGACAGGCATATTCTCTAAAATAATAGGAAAAGTTGGTTGTCCATGTTCTTATGGCCAGCTTTTCCAAATTTTGGTTTTTCTAGCATATTTTATGTTTTATACAATAGAAATAAACTACAATATTTTTGTATTAATAGAGCTTCTCTGACCACATCACAAAGGAATTAACTTAGTTCTTATCCTGGCTCTCTTACTCTAATAAACTTTTCAATTTTGAAAGAACTTTTCCATCACACAGAGAATGTTATAAAGCTATATTATAAAGCTATATTTTATTTTTGTGTGAGTGTGTGTGTTTAGTAGAAACGTTGGTGAGCTGATTTTAAAAAGGCATACCACATGAAATAACTCTGAATTCTTATAAGATTGTTCAGGTTTCAGTTAACAAATTGCTTTATAGTTATATCATGTAGTCTAAATTTGAATCCTACATGAATTTAGCTGTTGTTTTATATGAAAATATTTATTTATTAATTTAATGGTACCAGACTATTTTGATTTAGTATATTATGATAAACCAAACTGCTCTCAGAAGAATGCCTGTTTGTGGAGGCATTAATAGAAGAACTTATAGTTAAACAGGAATCAATCATTTGAAGTCCATAGACAAACAGTTCTCAATATGCCTCACTCTAGCACAGGGGTGTCAAACTCAAGGCCACCAGGCTGGATCCGCAGGGTCTTAAATCCGGCCTGTGGGACTGGCCAGGAAATATCAAGGGACTGGCCTGCGGTGCATCTGGCGGCTAAAACAGGCCCTGAGCGGGAGCCCTGTGCCTCGTGTTCACTCTCCATGACCTCCAGCAGCACTCTGCAGGCTTAAAAATGGGCCCAAGACAGGCTGAAAAACAGGCCCCAAACAGGCTGAAAATGCTTAAAAACCAGCCCGTTTTCAGCCAGCAGAGTGCTGCAGGAGGCCGAAAACAAGATGCAGGTGAGCGGAGCACAAACTCCCGTGCCCCATTTTGGCCAGAAGGGTGCTGCAGGAAGCATCCGTCCTGCCACCCCTGCCAGCCACCCCTCTCCCCACCGCTGCTGGCCCACAGAGAATTACAATGCTGATCAGGCCCTTGAAGAAATCCAGTTTAACACCCCTGCTCTAGCATCTTGGAGGTTTACAACATTTACTTACTTATTTATTTGTTTGGTTGTTTATTGAATTTATCTTGCCACCTATTTGCCCATGGCAACTCAAGGGAGTTTACAGAATATAAAACCATATTTAAAATAAAAAACAATAAAACTAACAAAAAGAATCAAATAAATTAATAGAACAAAATCTGGAAAAAAATAAATTAAAAAAATCACCCCCCAACTCCAACCCCCGCCCTGATGACAGCAGATCACACAAGCCATTTGATGGGCTCCATCCCGCTCTGGGTACCCCAAGCCCACTGGCAGAACTAGGTCTTCAGTGCCTTTCAGAAGAGTATTAGAGGGGGGGGGGGCATTCTAATCTCTAGGGGAATGATGTTCCAGAGAGTGGGCGCCACCGTGGAGAAGGCCCTTCTTGGTCCCACCAGGTGTATCTCCTTCAGGGATGGGACCCACAGCATTCCCTGCCTCCCTGCTCTAATGGGCTGGGTAGATTTGACCGGCAAGAGGCATTCCTCAGATAACCTGTCCCCAAGCTAGGAAGGGCTTTAAAAGGTGGCAACCAACACCTTGAATTGCACCTGGAAGCAAATCGGTAACCACTGCAGCTCCCGCAGGAGAGGTGAAACGTGCACACCGGAGTCAGGTTACTGCATTTTTCACCAACTGGAGTTTCCGGATGTTCTTCAAGGGCAGCCCCATGTAGAGTACGTTGCAATAATCAAGATGAGAAGTGACTAGGGCATGAGCCACTGTGAGTAGGGACTGTTGGTTCAGGAAAGGGCATAACTGGTGCACAACCCGCAGTTGCGTGCAAAGACCCTCCTGGCCGTGACTTTTACCTGCTCTTTGAGCAGGAGCTATGAGTCCATGAAAATTCCTATATTTCGCACAGGGTCTGTTTGGGGTAGTACCACTCCATCCAAAACAAAAGGTGGCAATTCTCCCTGAGCCAACGAACCCGAAACCCAGAGCCACTTGCAAGGGTTTAGTTTCAAACCTGTTGCTCCCTATCCAGCCCCTAACGGCCTCCAGGCACTGCAAGAGGGAGGACACAGCAACACTTAACTCATCATCAGCATATTGGTGATACTTTAGTCCATGGTGAGGGATAATCTTACCCAGTGGCTTCATATAAATGTTGAACAGGAGCGGAGAAAGTACCGAGCCCTGCGGAACCCTGTAAAGCAGTGGGCCTCCCGCTCCCATCCCCCAAAATCTCCCCAGGAGAATTCCATGGTCAATAGTATTGAAAGCCGCCGAGAGGTCAAGTAGAGCAAGGATGCATTACCTCCATCCCGCTCCTGCCAGAGAACATCCAGAAGTGTGATCAATGCTGTTTCTGTCTCAAATCCAGGCCTGAATCCTGACTGGTAGGGGTCGAGAAAATCTGTTTCCAGAAATCTCTGAAGTTGCTGCATGATCACCTTCTCAACAATCTTCCCCAAAAAGGGAAGATTGGAGACAGGTTGGAAATTTTCCAACCGGGCGGAGTCCAAAGATGGCTTCTTAAGAAGAGGGCAGATTACAGCCTCCTTAAAGTGCTAGGGCACCTTCCCCTCCTGTAGGGAAGCATTCATCACTGCAAGAGCCCACCTGCCTGTCACCTCCTAGGAAGCTTTCACAAGCCAGGAGGGACATGGATCTAAAATACAGGTGCTTGCGTGCATACTCCCTAGGATCCTGTCAACTTCCTCAGAAGCAACAGGATCAAACTGTTCCCAGATAACAGGGCAAGAACCAGAGGTGGTATTCAACTGGTTCACACTGGCTCAGGCGAACCGGTAGTGGTGATTTGGCATGGGTTGCCGAACTGGTGGCAACCCCTGGCTGGCCATGCCCCCAACCCGGTCACCCGGTCGCCGACTTATCCTGGTTGCTCTCCTAGCTTTCCCTACCAAGTGGCGGCCATGTGCATGTGCAGCAGCCCCAGGGCATCTGCCTGCCTGCCTCCCCTCCCGGAGCATGTTTTCTTCCTTCTCTCAGCGGACATGCCTCTTCCAGCCTGGCCCAGCCTGGCCAGCCAGCGGGTGGATGGGCAGACGTCCTGGGGCTTCTCATCTCCCTTGTTGCAAGATGCCTACAGCTGCTGCATGCTTTTTTCAGTGCGGCTTCTGGACTGCAGGTGGGGGTGGGGGACCATGGAGCATGATTCTTTGTCGGCCGCATGGCCCCTTTGCCTGCCACCGCTTCCCTCTCCCACTCGCAGTTTGACACTTGTTGGACCCGGAACAATTGTCCCTGGTTGGCCCCGCCGCGCCCGCCTGGTCGCACCTGTGTCGGCAACAGGCGTCATTTTGAAGTTGAGGGAGAAGTTTGGGAAGGAGATGTGGAGGGTCCTGCAGTGGCCGGGAGAGGAATGCTGCTGAGAAGCAGGGAAGTGGCCTTCTAGTGGTCCGACCCGGCATTCAGGCCGGTGGGCCACGGGAAGTCAGAGCACCAAGGGAAAGGGGGATTGCCAGGGGAGCCACCCTCTCTGTGCCAAATTGGGACCATTCGGGGTAGTCCTAGGAATTGGGTGAGTCGAGCCGCAGTTCCTTGCCTTCTTAGCTCAGGGAACGGATGTTTTCTGCAGGAGGAAGACTGGAGGGGAGTGACTCCTCCAGTGTCTTTGCCAGATTATTTGAACACTTAAAAGCGAGCATAGCTAAAGGTGCTGCTGTCACACATAACCCCAGGCCTCACCCTGTGGCTCAGTAAAGCCAACACCAAAGAAGTGGGTGTTCAGGTGAACCCTGAGTGCAATGCTCACTCGGATGTCGGCTGCTCCAGGTCAACTGACCTCAAAGCCCCTCAGGCCAGCTGAGCCAGGAACCGTTGTTCCCAGGCTTCTACTCGTCCGTGCTTGGTCGGCATTTCTTTACCTTGCCTGAAGCGGCTGCTCCTACCCCTCCCCCCCTCCCTCGCCAGGCCTGAGAAGGTAAGGGCGACGAGGGATAGTGAAGCAGCCAGGTCCCTATCTTCCCCGCGCTCTCTCCCACTCTTTCTCTCTCTCTCTCTCTCTCTCTCTCTCTCTCTCTCTCTCTCTCTCTGTGTGTGTTGTGCGTGTCTCCCTCAAAGACATGGCCGCGTTCTCCATCTTCCCCGGCCACGAAGCCACGGGGCCATGGCAGCGCTGGCTGGGAGAGAAGGGAATATTCTCTTTCTCCCCCTAGTGCTGCTGCATCCAGCTGGGGGAATGCCCCAGTGTGCTCTACTGCCGCCAAAGCTGCCCAAGGAAATTTCCCACCACTGGCGCATTTCCAGGACACGTTGCCACCACTCTCCCCCCTCTGTCTGTCTCTCTATCTCTCTCCCCCCCCCCCCCCCCCCCCCCCCCCCCCCCCCGACATGGCTGGGCCAAGCCAGCAAGCTCTCCTTGGCGCTCTTTGCTACTTCTTTCATTTCTTCTTTTTGGAATGCAGACTGGCTGAACAGTGATCGGGCAGCTGCTCCCTGCGCGTGTGCGCTCCCCCCCCCACTCCACCACAGCTACCAGTTACAGGAGGAGGAGGATCGCCTGAACACGACTGGCAATTGTTATTCAGCCAGTCTGGATTCCAAAAAGAAGAAATGAAAGAAGTAGCGAAGAGTGCCGAGGAAAGCTTGCTGGCTTGGCCCAGCCGCGACTTTGAGAAAGAGAGACACACACACATACACAGGCACAGGCACAGAGAATGGGGGAGAGAGGGGGGAAGATAGGGAGAGAGACAGAGACACAGAGAGAGATACGGGGGTGGGTGGGTGGGAAGCTCTTGAGAAACTCATTGCCACCAGACTGTGATCTGACCATGACAAGGGGACCGAGGACAAGTCCACCAA